CCAGGGCTCCTCCATTACTTAGCGTTAATACCGTTGTCTTCAAACTGGGCTCCAGGGACTCCTGGGGATGGGGTGTTGGATCATAGAAGGGGTCAAGCGGGCAAGTCACCCTCAGATCCTGTTTTCCCTTTGGGGGATCTCCAGAGCCCTGGGTCCCCCGTAAGAGCTCATTAGGAACCCTGCCCATCCCAGGTTTAGAACCCCTGGCATAAGACATGCAGCTCTGGCCCCCAGACTTGGGTCAGTCTCAGCTGAGGACCCGGCCTGAGGGGGTGGGCATGGGGGAAGAATGCAAAGACTTTGAGCTGGGGACAGCCCTGACCGGGTGGGCTTGGGTCTGGTGCCCGAGAGGAGGGAGTCTGTGCCAAGATCACCGTAGCATGGCCAAAGGCTTGACTGGAATGATCTGAGGTTGGCGAGGGTGGAGGCTAACACATCTAGGTCTCTCTTGTCCATGCCCTGGGTGCCACCTGCTCAACAGGGTGGTTTCCATGCCCAGCTGTGAGAGCTCCCTGAACCACCAGTTGAACTCTTGAGACTTGGGTGTTTGGGAGCTTCCCTGGGCCCAGACCCACTGTGTGTTTCTGCTCTGCTGAGGGTAGACACAGAAGAAGTCAGGAAGAAAGTCACTCAGCCCAGGGGCCATGGCCGAAAACCCGGGCCGTGATGCATTAAGGGACAGATTAGTGGACCTGACTTAGGTTTTTGGAGTTGATAATCAACGGTAAAGCTGTCGAGACAGTGGGCCTCTGCTGTTTAGACAGGGGTGCAATTCCAGAAGTTGCCCTGGGCGTGATTTTCTGAGGAGTGGTCCACCTCTCTTCACTGGACTGCCCCCTGTCCACCCTCTGGCCTTTAAGAGCCTCGCCTCCTGGGCTCCTACCCAGCTCTGCCACCTCTGAGCTGGCATGCCCTATCACTGAGCCTCCACCTCTTTGGTGGGGAGCTGCTGTGGGCCCGGCGCAGCGTTCACACAGCTCAGGACCTTGACCATGGCCACCTAGGGGCTACTTTGGTGGTCCGCTTGGGAATCCAGGGGAAGGAGTGGTAGGAGAGGGCCCAAGGGAGCTGAGATTTTTCTCAGCGAGGGATACCAGTGACCGTCACCTGCTACCACACCCTTCCCTTCCCTCTCAGGCCATCACCAAAGGAACCCATGGGGCCCCAGCCTCGGGCAGACCCAGTGCCCAAGGGGACTGGGTGAGTCTTCCAGGGATGTGAAGGAGGGACTCTCCCATCCGGTCAACAGAGGTGGCTAGAGTGTCCACTCTGACTCCTTGGTAACCAGGCCCTGGCTCCTAAATGAGGGGGTGAAGGACCCTGCAGGGAAAGCAGCCCCACCCCCACCCCACCCACCAGCTAGAGTGGGTGTGGGCCGGGCCCCCACTAGAGCAGTTCCTAGGGCCACGACTGCAGGAATTGGAGAAGCTTCTCTCTGGACCTGGAGGTTTTGAGTCTGCTTGTTTGTTTGTTTCTTCAAACTCCAAGCTGTGCCCATTAGGGAGATTATGAAAGGAGGCAAGTGGCACAGTGGTTAAGCCACTCAGCTTCGAACCCAAAGGTCAGTGGTTCAAACCCGCCCGCTGCTTCTCAGAAGACAGATGGAGCATCCCTTTCCATCGCGGCGGGGCCAATTCAGCTCAGATCAACACCCTGGCGGTGGGTTTTAGCCGGGTAGGAAACTTGAAGGTTAGGACCAGCATTTTCTTGGAATGGAATGGAATGGGACAGGAGAGGAGAGAAAATCATGGCGTGCTGTGTGGGACACAATCAGAATTAGAACCGCCCATGAACCCTTTGCATCATGTATGTATGCGTTTACAGGGCCGCCCTATAAAATGAACCTTACAGAGTGGCAATAGGCTTATGGCTAAGGCGCGCGAGTAGTGGAGGCTGGGAGTTACACTGTTGCTGATCTGAATCCACAGATACATGCTGAGGGGGGGTGTTCCTGGAGGTGAAGGGGAGAATCCAACAAGGGGGGCCCAGCCTGCCAGGGCTGCAGGTAGGGGTTGGGCCCCGTGGGTTCTGGAGACCACCTGGGATGGAGGTTTCCTGATAAGCCTGGAGGTTCTTCCCAAGAGCCCGGACTTGGTACTGAGAGCAGTAGGGAGCTATGGAGTACGCTTGAGCTCAGGAGGGCAATGAGGAGAATGACTTCTTGCACGTGCGTATTGTTAAATAGGTCCTCCTCGAACTGCCAGAGCTCTGGGAGCCCCTCCTGCCACGTGCATCACCCCCTTCCCAATCAACATCATCACCCCTCTCCCTCCTGGGCCCAGCCTCCACCCCTCTAGACCTCTCTCCCAGTCCCGAGAAGACCAGCTTGCCTCAACCCCCTCATTCCTCCTCTTCCAAGACTCCCCACTAAAAAAACACCCCAGACTCAGGTAAGATGGGAGGAAAGAGAGGCCAGGAAAGGTAGAGCCTGGCTCCTCCATTCGGAAGCTTCATGTTGCCAAGGCAACTGAGGCCCAAGTGCAGCCTGTGAAGAACCAGCACCCCCTACCCGCCCCCACCCCTCACTACCACCACTACCACCTGTTTGATCCCCACGCTGCTCTGAGTGGTCTCTGTCCCCCTGTGTCCCAGCCTCTCCCTAGGGTCCTGTATCTCTGCCCACCCCCCATCTCCATGTCCTGCTCTTTCTTACCCCCTCCCCCAACTTCTCTCCATCTCCTACCCTCCCCTGTGGGCTTCACCAAGCCCCGATTCACCTTGGACTTGTGACTCAGCCTGTCTGGCCTCAGTCTCCCCATCTGCCGGCCGGCCGGTGCTAACACCACCATCACAGACATGCGCAAAGGCACAAAAGATTGCCCAGTGCTGCCTGTGAAGTGCAGGGGGGGGGAGCCCTCCCTGCATGGGCGGCAGGTGGGAGGCCCAAGGAAGGTGACGGCAGACTCGCCCAAGGTCACACCGCCCATGGGACAGAGTGGTGAACCTGCCGGGGTTTTTCCACCCGGCCACTGTTGGCTCCTGTGATGGGATGGGGAGCCAGCTGGCTCCAGGGGCTTGGTGCCTCCCCTCACCCCTGCACGGCTGGGGAAAATCTGCCCTGTCTCCAGAGAGGTCAGCCACCCGCACTTTGGAACACAGCTGTGTGGGGCAGATGGACGGGCTCAGTTTCCAGCCCATGGGGTGGGGGTGGGGGGCCGGGGGTAGGATGAGACAGAAGAGGCAGACACAAGCCTGTTGGGATTTCCTGAGTGCTTGCTGAGTCCCCAGCTTCTGCACATCCTTTCCCTCACAGTCAAAGGGGACAGGCCCTGTGATCCCCATTTTCCAAATGAGGAAACTGAGACTCCGGGACTTGCTGAGACCGCACAGTAAGAGTCGGATGCCAGAACCCCAGTTAGCCAAGGTTACTGCCGCCCCACCCAGATAGATGTCCTCCCCACGATGTGCTCCTAGTCTGGAAATCAAACCAAACCCATCGAGGTT